TTCTTTTCTTCTAAACTTCAATCTTTGATTTCTTTTTCAATTTTGAGAATTTTTGGGTGCCGTTTGTGGCAAATCGAAGAGCTTGTTGAGACCTACGCTTAAATAGGAGCAATTCACCAATTTGGCCATCTTTGAATTTTTGAAATTAGGGCTTTGATTTGGAGTTATGGGGGTTTTCATCTCCATTGAGGTAGGGGTCTCTAGTACATGGTTCTTCTTATGCTTTTGTGAATTTTATTCTTATAAATTGTTGAATTATATGTTTAATTAGTATAAGTTCTTGAAAATTGTTTAAATGCCATGTATGAATTTGTGACAAGGTGTTATTTGATATATTGTGCTTAAACATGCTTGTGTGAAATGAAATTTTGCGATTTATATACTTAATATGTTAGAGAAATGTGAAATGAAAGCATAAGTTGTGTATTTTAGTGATTTAATTATAAAAGCATATGTAAACTCTGGAATTGATGAATTGAAGCATGAAGCATTCATGCATTCATTTAAAAAAAAAAAAAAAAAAAAAAAAAAAAAACAAATGAAATTGTTTTAGGAAAATGTTTTCTAAAGGTGTTTGCAAAAACCGGACGCTTAGGAGGCGCCTAGTGGTCTGTGATGTTAGTGTAGTTTAGAAGGAAGTGTAGTTGAACTAACTAGGCCGGATGCGACGCCTTGGAGGTGCCTTGTGGTCGTAGATAGTTAGTCAATCCTCCTTTCGTGACGCCTTGGAGGTGCCTTGGGTTGGATTACACTAACGGTTTGGATGTTGAAACGGAAATGTTTCAGATATGGGGAGCGACATTTGCATGACATTACACTTCATTAGAATATATGGTGTATGTGTTTGGGTGACAATTGTTATATACTTGTCGTTGTAGTTGTTGCCATGCACCCCCTATGTTATGATCCCGTTTTCTTTTACCTATTCTTTACGTGCATTCACGGGGTCATAAGAAGTGTGTCTTAGACGCTTCCTACTGAGCGTTTAGCTTACCCTATTATTTTAACATTTTCAGATTTGGGAAAAGAAGTGGCGGACGTCAATCCACCCCAGCCTTAGTTTGAAGTAGAAAAATGTTTCTTGTTGCTATCTTTTGTAATTGGGCCTAATTTTGTAAAGTGTTGACTCAAAATGTAGTATTTTGCAACATATAAAGTATTCAAATTCATTTTGTGTATGGCCATTGGGGAAATGTAATTAAGTTAACTACACTAAATCCTTTAGCGTATTTTATGTAACGTGTGCAAATTATGTTAACAATGTAGTTGTTGTTATTGTATTAGATGTTGAAATGTATTTAAATATGTACATGAGTGTAGTGGTGTAGGTGGTTTGGTTATCAAAAGTTGGTGTATCTCGGTTTTGGACAGTAAGCAATTGAGTGTGGATAACCCAAAACCAGTCGACGTGAAATGCCATACGTCGACCGAATGACCTGAACCAGTCGACGTGTAGCTTCCCACACGTCTACCGGTATCTTGGCAGCGAGCATTTCCACTGTACAAGTCTTTAACCAATCGACGTGTAGCCTTCCAGACGTCGACCGGTATCCTGGCAGTGGGCTTTTCCACTATTCACATCCCAAACCAATTGACGTGTAATGTATACACGTTGACCAATTCCGGTGTAGTAAACATTTGTGACTTATTTTCTCATTTTGCCTTTGACCACTCACTTAAGTGTATTGTTACACATTATAAGGTCCAGTAAAATACAAAATTATATTTTAACCATGGGAATGACTATATTACCCCGGACTTTATCTTATTTATTATGTGATACAAGTAAATGACTATTTTGCCCTTTGAGTCTCAGACCATTAGAATTGTGACAAATGACCATTTTGTCCTTGTTGGAGTTTAATATACAAATTTAACGTAAAAGGACCATATTACCCTTGGATGATTTTGGGTCAGATAGGGACCCGCTTAATGATCCGAATCTAGTGGATTTGGGTCGTTATAGTGGTTGAGTTAACTAGGCCCCAAATGACGCCCTGGAGTTGCCTCGTAGCCAGGGATAGTTAGGCAATCCTTCTCTCGTGCCGCCATGGAGCTGCCTTGGGACGGGTTGTATTAATGGCTTCGAAATGATGAAGGAAAAGGTTTTGGAAATGGGGAGCGACATTGCATTCTATAGTATAGTATGGTTCATTTAGGACTTGGATTATTGTTATTGATGTTGTGGTTATATTTTTTTCGGAAATGGCATGATCCTGGTTCTTTTTCCTATTCCTTGTTTGGATTCACGGGGTCACAAGAGGTGTGTCATAGGCACCTCCTACTGAGCCATTATGCTCACCCCTTTATCATTAACATTTTTCAGGTCACGGGAGGGAGGTGGTGGATGACATTCCTCCACAAGCTTGAGGATATGAGAGTGTGTTTTACAACTACTTTGTAGACTTAAGCCATTTTTATAAAGTTGCATCTTGAATGTATTAAGTTGTATAGCATGGCCTTGTAATATAACTATGTGCTTAGACTCTATTTTGATGTAAATTTGCGACAAAAGCGTAAAGACTTTGTATTAATTTTTATTTGAATGGGAAAAATGATGTTGCATTCTATTAACTTCTTGATGTAAGTGACCATGGCATGTAGAGAATTATTTTGCATTGTGTTGGGACAGGTTAGGACTTGGATTGAGTTCACTATGGGACTAATGGGGTGCCTAAGTGTACAAATGTTCAACCTTAGGCTTTACAGGGCTTTTTTAGGTTCTGAACTTGGGGAACCGGTACCTCATCCTGAAACCGATTCAAGGGTGTTTTTTGTTTATGTTTGGGCATTCTGCCCATGTGGAACCAGTACCAAGTTTGGGAACCGGTTCCAGCCCTCCAGTAGAGTTTTATCAGCTTTGATTACTTAACTTCGGACGGTCATAACTTCTTCGTTCTGAACCCAAATAGGGTCATTCTTGAGTCCATTTTCAAGGATTTTGAGTTAGCTTTCCAATACGACCAACCTCATCCTCAAATTTCATTCATGTTGAAAGTTATGACTATTTTAGTGAAACAGTGTCAGGATTTCCCTTAAACCAAGTAAAGGCGCTTTTGGGAAATCACATCCAACGACTGTAAAACCTCTTCAAATGTCATGGAATGACTAAACTGATTATTTTAAACTATATTTGACTTTTTTGAAGGTAGATTACCCTCTCATATTATAAAATGACCATTTTACCCCTAGTGTGTCCTCAGGTTTGGTTAAGTACCCGGTTAGCGATTCGAACCCCCGGTTCGTGTCGTTACAGGAGTGATGATAATGATGGTGATGACCACTACTGTTCCATTTGATGGGGATGATCTTGATGATCGTTTGCCCATGTTGATTATCAGTTATATTTTGAATTTTATTTTTGCTCATGATGTGTGCTTACATGTTCATATAGACATATGCATCATGTTTTAGTTGTTAAGGTAACATAGTCATTATTCTGAAATTTCTTTTTGATCTAAATGACTTGGTTCATCTTAATATACTGATCTTTCTTCTTCTCTATCTTTGTCAATCTTTGTCAATTTGTTCCAAAAAGTGGGAGAAAGATGTTACATTTAGGAGGAGTTTACAAATATTTTTTTTTCTCTCTTTATTAAACTCCCACTTGTAGTACTTTTGTTTGATCATTGTGTAGATAATCAGGTGAACATTCAATCAAGTAATGATCAAGAGAAGATATTCGAAAGAAAATTTTCGTCTTATTTCTTTGACAAATTGTAATTTGCTTTTTCTGCTTGGGTAGATTACATATTGTTTTAAGATTTTGTCACGAAATTGCCAAAGGGGGAGATAGTGAGATATATATTTTGTAATTGGCTAATTTAGGTGTTAAAACAAGTCCGATTGAGTTGTATTTAAAAGTTTAAAATTCAAGATCGAGATCAGTTGCGGAATCGAAGAGTTGTTCAGGTTCGATAGCTTGAAGACTACGAAAATGTAAGAACAGTACTTTAGGAAGTTGAGTTAGAAGATTAAGATACTTGCATATATGAATTATTTTTTAAAACTGCAAAATTTTAAAGTGTAATTAACATTCAGTTCAAGTCTGGCCAACTTGAACTGGTTCCATGCAGTTGAACCGGTTCAAGATTCAATACTTCGAATTTTTCAACACTGGCTAACTTGAACTAGTTCAACCACTCTGAACCGATTCAAGGTCTTCAGATAGTTTTGGTAACTCATTTTGCATGTGATTGTTTAATTAATAGGTAATTTTAGTAGAGTTAATTGAATAGAGAAACCTCTGATTAAATCATCTCTAGAAAAAAAACTTAAACTTTTTACAATATATTCCGTTGCACAACTTACAATTGGTATCATAGCCAATCTCTACACATTGAGTTGATTCTAGTGGGAGGTTTTTGCTTTTTTTCAAAAAGAATTCTTTCTATCATGTCTTATGTTTTGAAAGACGGTGGATCTAATTAACGTGATCCCTTATTTGAAGGAGATAATTATAATTTTTAGAAATAAAAAATGAAAGCTTATTTGCGAAATTCAGAAGGTAAAGTCTGGGCTATTTGTGAGATAGGCTAAACACCTTCAACTGAGAAAAAGACTGTGGATGGTAATGTTGTTCAGGTTTTAAAATATACTTTCACCTTCATTTCACATGAAACTGTGTGTAATGTTTTGGCTCAGTTTCAGTTGGAGGTTCCAGGTAGGGGCCACTCGCTCTTTGATTTGGCTGTTTGTAGTTTGAACAATGGACTAGGTATTGCAGTTTTTATTAGATTAATCAGAGGACCATATTTCTCATCATGGAGTGCCGATCCACTGCAACGGACAACAGTCGAAAGTCTATAACTGTCATAATTATATGACCAACGATAACCAAGACACTGAACTACTACGCCCCTTTTAACGCATCTCCATCCCCTTTCTCTCTCTCCCCCTTTCCCCCCGTGTGTTTGTGTGTGCGCGCGCGCAAGCCCGTTCTGCATGGTTAGGGTTTGTTCCTTATCGTTCATTACCCATCATCAGATGAAAGGCGAACCATGGTGAAAGTTCACCCTCCAATCGGTCCGGTTATTTGTCGCCGAACCCACCATAGTCATCCCTTTGGCATCTTCTATGGAGAGAACCCTTTGGATTTCTCTTTTCCACTTATGTTAATGGAGATTTCCTTGGTCATCCTCATAACTCGCATCCTTCGTTTTCTTCTCAAACCCCTCAAACAGCCTAGAATTGTATCTGAAGTCCTTGTAAGATCAATATATTTTCTTCCATTTTCACAAGTTATTTTGTTTTTTTGATGTATGTTGTCACTTATTTTATATATAATGCTGTATGTTTTATCTGCAACAATTAATTGGGACAGTTTTGAAACTTTCTTTTGATTTTGTTTTAGGGTAATTAATTAATCATGTATATGCTACTAATTAAAAGTGGTGTTTTAATATTTTGAAGGGTGGTTTTATAGTTGGACCATCTGTCCTAGGCCGGAACAAGAAATTTGCTGCATATATGTACCCGGACAATGCTAGCTATGTGTTGAAGAATGTTGGGTTAATGGGATTGATGTATTTCCTTTTCATGTCTGGCGTGAAAATGGATCTCGGATCAGTAAGAAAATCCGGGAAAAAACAATGGTACCTAGCCCTATTAGGAGTTTTTGTTCCGTTTACAACGGCTACATGCATTGGCATTGCTCTCAGAAAGATTTCGGATAAAGACCTTGCCAGACCTTCTTCAATTGGTGGAATTGCTTCAGCTTTAGCCACAACAGTAGTACCAGTTATCTACCCTATTGTGAGAGAGATGAACCTCCTCAGCTCGGAGATTGGAAGGCTGGCCTTGTCCACGGCATTGATCAGTGATGTTGTTGGAATGAACTTTATGGTTGCATTCGAGGCAGCCAAACAAGGGGAAGCCAAGCTGATTGATGCCTTGTGGTACTACCTTTCTTTGATAGTATTAGGGGCTTTCATTTTGGGTGTGATACGGCAAGCAATGTTCTGGATTATCCGAACCACGCCAGAAGGGAAGCCGGTGGACCAAATCTATGTGATCTTCATTTTGTTGGGTGTTATGATAGTGGGGTTTCTGAGTGATATGTTTGGCCTAGCCATTGCTAATGGACCGCTGTGGTTAGGGATGGCCATACCAGACGGTCCACCACTCGGATCAACTCTCGTGGAGAAGAGTGAGACGTTTATAGTAGAGCTTCTCATGCCCTTCTCATTTACGTTTGTGGGAATGACAATGGATGTGAACGCCATGAGTGCCCGGTGGTCGAGCTTGATGCCTCTTCTTGCCATGTCTTTGGCAGCTTACATAACGAAAATTGTTGCAAGTCTTGTGGTTGCTCGCTTCTTTGACATGCCACTGAGAGATGGTCTCACGTTTAGCCTCATAATGAGCTTAAGGGGTCAAGTGGAGATCTTGTTATTTATGCATTGGATGGATTTAAGGGTACACTCTTGTCTACTTCTCTCCTCTGTCAAACTAATTAGTTACATTCTCAATAGCAGCTTAGTGCAACTATTTGTAAATTGTTTTCTGCTTTTGAATTTTAAAATTTGTCTAGTTGGTAGATTTCTGTAAATTATTTTTTGAAACGGAGTTAAAAGAACAGTATTTTTTTAATTGAAAGTTAAAGCAAACAAACACCCATTATTCACATGTCCCTAGTGAGATTCAGACTCTCAATCTCCTCAATGCATTCGGACTCTCAATAAATGTCCCCCAAAGGGGAGGAGAGATCATACTAATTGAACTAGAGGCCTTTGATGAGTTAAAAGAAAAGTTCGTTGTTTTGTATTTTATAGAATTTTTTATTTGTTGGTTGTTCAAAAATTTGTTCTTTTGAGAACAAAGAAAGAATACAAAAAGCCTGAATTGTTCTGTAATATGCAAAAAATTACTCTCTCTCTCTCTTCGTTGAGTCTCAACTTTAAGGTTGTTTTGAATGTTTAAATGCAGATGATAAAGCAGCCAGCTTTTACAATGATGGTGTTATTGACAGTAATGGTGACTGCGATATCTACACCATTGATCCGAATACTTTATGATCCAACCAGGCCATTCTTAGTTAACACAAGGAGGACCATCCAACACACCCCTCCAAACACAGAATTCCACATTGTGGCCGGCATCCATGATCAAGAAAGCGTGTCCGGCTTTATCAACCTTCTTGGAGTCTCACATCCAACCCGGAGTAGCCCTTTCTCGGTCTATGCTCTCCGCCTCGTTGAGCTCGTGGGACGCACCAACTCCCTGTTCATAGACCACGAGAACCAGGACCAGGCTTTCGACTACAGCAGCTGCAACCCAATTCACAATGCCTTGAGCCTTTTCGAAGAAACAAGAGGCGAATTCGTTAAGATCCATTCATTCACATCCGTTTCGCCTAAGAGAACAATGTATCAAGACATTTGTGAGCTGGCTCTACTTAAGAAAGCTACTCTCATCATCCTGACCTTCCACAAGGAGTTCTTGGGGCGTAGTCGCGGTGGGACTGAGGTGGTCATGAGCCGGAAAGTCCAATCCGTGAACTCAACAGTCTTGTCTCATGCGCCGTGCTCTGTGGCCATCCTTGTGGACAAGGGTCCTCTAGTTAGGAACAACCTTGTGAACAACGCCATGCCGCCCTCTTTGCACCATTTTGCAGTGCTGTTCTTGGGTGGAGCCGATGCTCGTGAGGCCCTTGCATATGCCGACCGGATGGCTGGGAATCCGGATGTAGCGCTTACTGTCATACGGTTCCTCTCACACGATGGCGTGGGAGATGATGATTTGGAGAAGAAGCTTGATGATGGGTTGGTGACTTGGTTTTGGGTGAAGAATGAGGCAAATGCGCGGGTGATTTATAGAGAGGTAGTGGTGAAGAATGGCTCCGAAACAGTTGCTGCAATTCGAGCAATGAATAATACTTGCTATGACCTCTGGATTGTGGGAAGGAAACATGGGATAAATCCGGTTTTAGTCCAAGGATTATCGGACTGGAGTAACAACAATGAACTTGGAGTAGTTGGAGACTTTGTTGCCTCCATGGATTTTAAGAGTGCAGCTTCTGTATTAGTTGTACAACAACAGGTTTTAAGAGAGGAACTAGCTAGTTAAAATTAGTTAATTTCTAGGAAATTTTTCATGTTTTAACATGTTAGAATTAAGTGTATATAATGTTATCAAAACGAAAAAAAAAAAAAGAAGAAAAAGTGCGCATTTTTTTTTTTTTCTCCTCTATGAAGGTTTGTTACTTGGCAAATGATTCTTGGCTAATTGGTAGTATTATTAGCTGGAAACAAAAACCAAACATATATAGTTTTTTGGCAATGATGAATCATTGACTGTTAATTATGGTTAGAGGAATTTCATACTAGCAAGAGCTCGGAGGGTTTCCTTCAAACAAGGCGTTGTGCCAAATATTCGATCAAATTATATTGAGCATGTTTTACATCTCTTCTCGAGAAACAAGTGAGCTATTTTTTTGCAAAATTGATTTTCTTCCTTGTTCCATAATATGATTAAATTATTCTATCTTGTTATGCCACTTCATGAATTACATTCGTATAAGAGAATTATAGTTTGTCAAACGAAACAAGATTTCAAGTTTAGAGATCGTAAGAGGCTTGACAGCTCATGAAGAAAGGAGGCATGCAAGAACCAAGAGTTCGGTCATCACATCACCAAGGATTTAGTAAAAATTCAGCTAGAGGTTGTGAGCAATATATATGTCAAACTTAATGACATGTTTTTTGAAGGATTCATTTTGAGAAGTAGGCATTTTGTTATAAAATAAGGATCAAATAGGAGTTTATGAGAATAAGAGAAAAATAAATAACAAGAAAAGAAAATAACACACACACAAACGAGACAAGGATTTACGTGATTCGGCTATACCTACGTCTACAGGGACGTCTACGCGGAGAAGATAGAACTGTGAGTTGTACGTAGTGGAATATTTAGAAAGTTTTGTATTTTTAGAAACAAATCTGTGTCTTTCTAATCTTTACTTATTTTAGAAATTAAATAATTAATCACATGCAAGATAAAATAAAGCAAAGTAAGAGTTAGAGAGACACTATGATTTTAGCGAGAAAACCCCAGTTGGCAAAATAGGCCAACTATTTGCGTGGGAAAAATCTCATGAACTGTGCAGTCCAAAGTAAACCAATCTACTATGTATGAAACAAAGTACACTGAACTTTGACTCTACCTCACACCCTATCGTTCTATCAAACACCAATAACTGAAAATCCTCTAGCTTTGCGACATCCCATCCAATAGCACTTGACCTCAGTCTTATGCTTGATCTCTGTAGAAGGATTACAAGTAGATCAAACAACACTCCACGAATTATTTGACCCTTTCAAAGTGTGACAGCTTTTACTTCTGTTCTTCAATATTTGAATTCGATGTATAAGTAGATCTTCTTTTCTCTGATCGTTGTAGATGCAAAACTTTGATCACGATCAAGATTTGAACAACACTCTAAACTCACTATTGTGTTTATATGTATGTTCTAGAAAATCTGACAGAGAAATCAATTTTGATTTTCTGCAAAAATAATCTTCCTAAGGGTTTTATGAATAATGAAGTTGTAATGTGAAACTCGTACTAAACCTAGATATGTATCAGGATTTATATAGAATTTTCAAAAACCAAATCCTTTAGAAAATATAGGAAATTTCGTGTATAGGACTTCTGGTATAATTCTAAACCAACTAGGAAAGAAATTGTGATACCCCCGGATTTCTAGATGCGGGTTAGCTAGGCCCTCGCCCAAACGCCCGGGAATATTAAAAACAAATAAACAATAAACGAACACAGAGTACAAAAGAATAAATAAATTTCTGAAAGAAAACTAAAATGATAATTCATTAATTGAAATCTCAGAATAAATTTCATTAAATAATAAATTATTTAGAAACAATTAATCCTCTAATAATAATACAACTCGGGAATCCAAACTATGTGGACCCCTAGAAAAAAAACCCAACTAAACAAATGACAGCAATAATTGTCTACACCAGGAAACTAAAACATAAAGGAACTCCTATGTAGATAAACCGGAAGAGTGAAATAGATGATCCCTGCTCAACACGAACAATTCCTACTCCTAACGCATACCTGAAAAATAAGGATGAGTCAGGCCCACAAACAAGTTCTACTCTACTACAGTCCAAGTAAAGATCCGATACACGTAAACATCCTAGTCAATCCAACAATAACTAAATAGTCCATATATATATAAATACACACTATAGGATGCTCACTAGACCATAGGTCTATCTCAACCTGAATAGAAAACAACATGCAAATCGCACATAAAGTGGGCATGTGTACCTAGACCTACCAAGGTACCCAGATGCCTATTATGTCCAGCTATCCATCCTAGGCGATATACGCACCCTAACCATGATCCTAAGACTCAAGCTCATATCATGCCTCATATATATATATATATATATATATATATATATATATATATATATATATATATATATAATCCATCTTAATCGAGAATATAAAATAAACATTCGGTATGTCATCCAACTGATTCAGTTAACCTGACATGAATATAAGTAGGATTTAATATTTTTAGTTAATCCATTCCCTTATAAAATAGGTAAGATTTAACTAATAAGTTAATCCATCCCTAGAGTGCCACCATCCCATACTGGTGCACTACATCTACACAATCCAATAGTTGATGTAACAATTAAAATAATACATCAAATAATCCAGAATAAACATAATAATATAATATTATGTTAACCACCAAATAGGAATGACTTATAAATTATTTAAATTTCTTACATCACATATCCTACACATACTGAATCTTAAACACATTGATATTTTATTATACAGTCAAGTAAGCATTCTCCATATCTAACTCATCCTACATATTTAATCTCAATTGTTAAAACAATTTAAAAGATTAAATCAATTCGTTTGTTTAAAACATTCAAATAGCAAACATCGTTGTGATCAAGTCTATTTAAAATTAATTTAAACTCATACCTAGTCGCTATTTTATATTCAGGACCTTTCAAAATCAATTAAGGTCTATTTAATGTTGTTTATGAAAATTTTCCAGGTAAGACTCTCGAGCTTTTGTCTTAATTACTCAAGCTTCCTATCTAAGGCTCGAGCTTCCTGTCCGTTGCTCGAGCTTTACATCATAGGCTTGAGCTTTCTAACCATAACTTGAGCTTTTTTCCAATAGTTCGAGCTTTCGATCCATGGCTCGAGTCTTACATCAATAGCTCGAGCTTTTCTCCTATAGCTCGAGCTTTGCTTCCAAGGCTCGAGCGCTGTAACGGCGGATCGAGTTGTTACACGATTCAACCCAGAAACCCTACTGTGAATTCAAATTTTTTTTTATTATTTAAGGAATCCTAGGCATGTTTCTATGTTCCATCAATCCTCAGATATGAAAAACATCATTTAAGCATATAAAAATTCATAAAGGAAACCAGATTAAATCCATGAATTTAACAATTCCGACAACAAGAACAAATATGAACCAAATTCATAAAACCTATGTTCTAATTCAATTAAACATGCATAATTATTTAATTTTAATGTTTAAGCATCCTGGAATTTCCTAGGCATGTATAAAAACACGAATCATCGAGAAAGAGATAGAATAGGAACTTGCCTTAAACTTTCGGATCGAAAGTTAAACTTCTTCTTCCTTGATCTTCTCTTTAAAGAATTCTCTCCTCCTTCTTTCATATTCCTCCTTCTCTTTCTAACACTCTTTCTCTAGAATATATTACGTGATATATTTTAACCCCCCTTTACAACCTATAGTTATATATTTATAGGCTAAATAATAACTCTATTCCTTTTCCCAATCTAAGTTAACTTAATAAAGAAAATAAAAATTAAAATATTGAAAAAGTAACTTAAAATATGTTACGTATATAATCTATGTATATCCTTTTTAAATAAATAAAATATATACATCAGATTATTTAGTAATAAATTATTTAATAACACTTAAGTTACCGTAATATTAAAAGGTAATTTAAAACATGATACGTATAAAATCTATGTATATCTTATGATATAAATATATAAAATATATGCATTAGATTAAATATTAATACTAAAATTACCATAAAAGTAATTAATAAATAACTTTATTTTTCTATATGTATATACATATATATCTATATATATACATAAACAATCATCCATGGGTAATTATCCATACCCATTAAACCTCCTATCAAAGTGGTCCATGGGACCTAATTGGTTGCCCATTACTACTAAAATAAAACAAAACAAAATATTTAATCATTTAATCTACAATTAATTACAATTAATCAAACACATCATTTAAGCACACAATCTAATAAACAAATAATACAAATAACACCTAGACAAATAGTCAATTTATCAAATAACACTTAATTCAATTAAACACATAAGCAATTAGTCAAATAATCAATTAAACAATTAAAATGTAATTAAAACAAATAAATAAATACCGAGACTGTCCTTTTTAAATTCAGGGTATTACATTCTTCCCCCCTAACAAAAAGAATTCCGTTCTCGGAATTCGCCCTTACTTTCTTCCATTATTTCTGAAAACTGTGAACGAATTTACATTCTCTTGTTCCCCAAGTAAACACAACCTCACTATAATGGCTCCACTCAACTCCAATGTATCAAGTAGTATATATTGTTCCTATATTTAAGAAACACAACAATTATACAATTCATAGGTTATATCGAACAACAACGTAATCCTCCCAATTTGACAAGGTAATGATCTATATTCCTCCAAGTGCCATAAAATATACGCATAAAACTCCTATGCACCCAGTGCTAATGATTTAGTAACGCTAATCTAAAGACGACTGCCTCAATTTATAAACATAATCCTCTAAAAGTCAATGTAATAAGTAAAATTAACATTTGTCCAAAAATCGCCTTGCTTCTTATATGGAAAACAGAACAAGCAAACCACTCCATGATAGAAAACTCTAGTATTATTTACAACATCCCATTGCCGCCTCCAAACCGCGCGCAGTTTATTACAAAGGGGAGTATTTCTCTTCGACATATTTTTAAATAAAGTCAAGGTCTGATTGTATAACCTT